ACAATGAAATTAACTTACAATTTAAACTTACAAGTACGAACTACGAATACAACTAACTCTCATTAGTCCATTTTTTTAATGTTTTTTAAATGCCGAATATTATTTATACCTTAAAAAATTTTCAACAACAGATTGGTATTTTCCCATTTTATAAAGTCATTAAAGGGATTATATTGTTATTTTTATAGTGTGAAATACCGAGAAGATTTAACAGCACAATTTATTTCTATTTAAACTATGAATAATGTGTATTTCTCCTGTTATTAAAGGGATCGTATCAAAATTTTTCTCCAATCTATGTAATATATGCAAAAAGTTTACTATTTGCATAAAATATGCTTTGTGCCTATTTACCTAAGTCTGCTCATCACGAATATAAATCATGGACTTACATATCCTAGAGCAGAGGTTCCCAAACTTTTTTGTGTCACGCCCCCTTTTGTTAAAATAAAAGTTTCAATTATTCATAAGTTCAACAGTTCAACAATTATTAATAAAAGAAATATAGATTAGGTTAGTTAGTGAGTTAGATGTGCTTGGATTTTTTTACTAGTATGCCTATTCGTGGCAGAGTTTTCGTAAGTGCACAACGCAGGTCACTAGCAGCATCTAGTTTATTTCGATACTTTGTTTTAATTGCTACAAGTCTTGAAAATGCTTTTTCGCACAAATAGGTGCTTGAAAAAAGGAAATATAAACGAAGAGCTTCCTGTGATACACTAGGATACACTTTGAAATATTTTAACCAAAATGAAGGTTTGTCCACTATATCAAAGTTGTATTTGGCAGAGGAATCATATTTATTTGCAAAGCATTTTATTGAAGTAATTCAGGCAGGGAGTCTACGTTGACATGAAATGGGTCAATCTGAAAATACTATCGTCACAAGTGTTTGGGAAGTATGGTTTGATATTTGGATTTTCAAACTTGATCCTTCATAAATGTCCTTTCTTCTGAGCGTATTTCTTCTGAGATTGACTCTACTTTAAGGAAACTCGAATAATTGCAGGGGTTTGCTGATATTTTACGCCTCCAAAGTTGCAAGTTCTTAATATACATCTTGATTGCATCACGATGAGTAACTATATTTGAGTCTCTACCCTTCAGTTGTAGGTTAAGGTTATTCAACGGGTCAAAGATGTCTGACAAATAAGCCAATATTAGTCGGGTACAATGTTTTTTGAAGACCACGCTTAATTCATTTTGCTTTTGCTATTCCAAAAGGTGTTTCACAATCTTTCCTTTTGGGAGCCATCGTACTTCTATATGAAATAGCAGTGTTTTGTGATCACTTCCTAAATCTTCACAAATAGTTTTAAACAGTCGAGTATTCAACGCACTGTTTTTATGTAATTCACTATTTTAAGACAACATTCTGTTCATTTGAAAGAGTTTTTGCTCTTTGTATAACACAATGTATCCCAGTTACATCAGCATTTTTCTCTCTTGCTAATTGTACAAATCCTGAGCGATAACCAAACATTGAAGGCGCGCCATCCGTACATACGCCGATCAGTTTTGCCAAGAGAGTTCATGTTGTCAAAAAAATCTGACACTGATTTTATAACATCAATAGCTTTTGTCGTGATCTCCAAATATGCAGAAAAAGGTATCTGTATCTGTATCTGTAGAGTAGGGAGGGCGAGTTAAGTTTCACAGCACTTAGGCCACAATTGACCCATTGTGCATCCTCCCAGGGAGCTGTCACCCTTAGCTCATTGTCCATCCTGCCATTTCTAGGAAGGTGGACAAGTCACCAGGAGACATCTCACTTATGTGGGCAGGTGTAGGCCAGGACTCGCCGAACGCGTACTCTCGTATTAACGATAACTCTGGGCATTCACATAGGACATGCTCTACAGTTTCGTCTTCTCGTTCACACTTCCTACATAGAGGTGTGTCTACTAGCCCCAGTGTGTGGAGGTGTTTGCTTAGTTGACAATGACCAGTTAAAAAACCAACTGCCAAACGTAGATTTTTCCTGGTCATTCCCAAGTACTTCTTTGATGTTGACTCTTCAAGGTTACTTAGTGTTACCCTGGCAAGTCTACATCCTTTCCCTTCTTCCCATCTTTTTACGGTTTGCGTATGGGAGTGACATTTGACAATTTCCGCGATTGTTGTAGTTGACCAACCAAAAAGATCCCCAGGTCCTAGGAGTCTTAGGCCTGTCGCCTTCCTAGATAATTGGTCAGCAACGCGGTTGCCTTTATTCCTATTGTGTCCTTTAACCCACTTCAGGATGATGGTATTACCATCCGAAGCTTGAGTTAGTGACTCGTGACACTCCATTACTAAACCTGATGTGACACGTGATCTATTCAAGGTTAGTAGTGCTTGTCTGCTATCTGTGCAGATCATTATAGTTTTCCCTGCTATACCTTTTTGGGTTATCTCTTTTGCGGCTATGGAAATACCAGTTAGTTCTGTCTTAAGTACACTGGCATTTTTGCCCATACCCCACTTTATTCTTAGGTTCAGTGATCTGGAGTATATCCCGCATCCTGAGCCTTCTTTCATTTTGGAGCCATCGGTGTATATGCAATAGGCATTTGCCACGTTTGTCTCCGTACACTGTCTTGTTTCAATTTTGTAGGGTTTGTTAAAGACGAACTTTGGTTCAATTGAGTCGCAGCCTGCCTGTAGTACTGGTAACGCATCTAGCTCTCCCCGCCAGAAACGAGTTCTCAATTGTCCCATTCCTACATCAAGGTTTGCACCAGCTGAGCGCAGTCGCATCATTGTCACTAAAGCCACCTCTTTGACATATATGTCTAGAGGCGTGATGTCAATGATCAACTCCATTGCAGCAGTTGGTGTTGTTTTCATGGCACCTGTTATATTTATGCAAGCCATCCGCTGAATATGGTTTAGTTTGTTAATCGCTGTTGCCTGTAGCACTTTTGGTACCCAAGCAATAGCTCCGTAAGTTAGCATTGGCCTAATGACAGCGGTGTAGACCCAGGCAATCACCCTGGGCGTGAGGCCCCAGGTGCGTCCAACCGTTCGTCGACACTGTTCATAGGCAATATATGCTCTTTTAGCTCTACCATCTAGGTGTGAGTTCCATGTTAATTTCTTGTCGAGGGTAATACCAAGGTACTTCACCTCGTCAGAAAAATTTAGACTGTAGTTTAGAATCCTTGGGGGTATTAAGCCCGTGATTCTTCTTTTCCTGGTAAAGAGGACCATCTCTGTTTTCTTAGGATTTATAGATAGTGAGTGTTCCTTGCACCATGTTTCTATTAGTCGAAGAGCAACTTGTGATCTCTCACATAGTGTGTTCTCAAACTTACCGCTTTGCAGGACAGCAATATCGTCTGCATAGGCTATTGTGTAGAAACCGTTGCTGTTGAGTTGGTCAACCAGGGTGTCTAGAACTATGTTCCATAGTAGTGGTGATAGCACCCCTCCCTGTGGACATCCCCTCGTAATCATGCCTCTAACAGAAACGTCTTCTACATTTATGCTTATTGCTCTACTAGAAAGCATACTAAATATCCATTTGCTTATGGCCAGGGGAACATTCCTAACGTTGAGCTGTTGGGTGATAGTTGGGAATGTGGTTTTATCAAACGCTTCCTCAATGTCTATGAATATACCTAGGGTGGATTCTTTATTATCCAACGATCTTTCAATTCTTCCCACTACATGATGCAGTGCAGAATCGGTGGATCTTCCCGAAGTATATGCATGTTGATTTGGGTGAAGTGGGTTATGAACCAGAACTTCATCCCCTATGTACCTCTCGCTTAGCCTCTCCATCGTTTTCAACAGAAAGGATGTTAGGCTAATTGGTCGGAAAGCCTTTGGTAGGGTGTAGTCCATCCTACCTGGTTTTGGTATGAAGACCACACGTACCTCTCTCCACTTCTTAGGAATATATCTCAGAACCAAAGAGGCTCTGAATATTTCCACGAGGTGCGGCAGAAGGATATCCAGTCCCCACCGTAGTAGGGCTGGATATATGCCGTCAGGCCCTGGTGATTTGAAAGGGGTGAAGCACGATATAGCCCATTTTACCTTTTCCTCATTAATCATTGTTCTGGCGAGATGCCAGTCGTTTGTTGAGGGTATGATTGTTTCTTCCATCTGGTTTGGTGCTGTTGAGACACTAGAACCGGGAAAGTGTGTTTTCATCAGGACCTCAGCACTTTCGCGAAGGTTGGAAGTTTTGTTCCCATCTTCCTTCGTTAGTATGCCGACATGCCGATGTGGGTCCTTTGAGAGCTCTTTTTGTAGCCTGGAAGCCTGCGGGAAATCTTCGATTTCCTCACAGAAGGTTCTCCAAGCAGCTCTTTGTCTTTGTCTGCAGACTTTTTTAAACTCTCTGAGATTTGATTGATAAGAATCCCAATCCTCTTTGAGTTTGGTGCGTTTCGCTCTATTAAAAGCTGTTCTTGCTATCTTTCTAAGGTGTTCCAATTCAGTGCACTACCAAGAGTTGGTTTTGCGACTTTCCTGGACCATCCTTATTGGACAGGATTTTTTATAAGCATAGCTTATTTTGTTTTGGATAGATACCGTATACCTTTCCAATTCTATATTAGTTCCTGGAGTTGAAGCCTTTTCATTCCGCAGAGCATCTTCTAAGAGTCGGATGTAGAGTTCTACATCCGTCCTCCTAGGGTCGCGTGATTTGACAAGGCTTTTTTCCAGACTAATATTATAGGTTAGCCAGCGGTGGTCAGACATAGAAATATTATCCGATACCTGCCAGTTCTGAATCTTATGCAGAAAAAGGTAGCTCGTCTTTCAGTCTTTTGTTTTCAATATACCGAACATTAACAATTAAATGAGAGCATTGTGCTAGATGTCTGTAGTCTCGTCTAGCTGAATAGCAAATATCGGCGATTGTTTTACTGCGTCAACTACCTGGTTTTGTATGTCTTCGGTCATATCATCAATGCGACGTTTCACAGTATTGTCAGAAAGATGTATTTAAGATAACATTTGCTTACTCTGCGTTCCCTGCTTACTAAGAATAATATCAGCTGCCTTTAACAAACCCGGTTTAACAAGTGTCTCTCCAATAATATGGCTCTTTTTTCTTTAGCAATCAGAACTGATAGTTCATATGAAGCTTCAAGCACTTTTTCCAACTTCATGCGTTCTAAATTTTCAGATTTTGTAGTAAAAAATTCCTTTGGTTTTTCCTTAAAAGAGTTATGCTTGGATGACAAATGCCTTTCAAGACAATTAGGCCTCATTTCATCATTGCTTAATACTTCACAGCAAATTACATACTGAGGATGTTTGACATTATCTTTACGGTTACAAATAAACGCATATTTGATATAACCATCATTATACTTGCGATTCTTTGCTGAGTTCATCTTGACTACAATAATTTCTCTCACTCAAATCAACGAAATCAGTGAAAGTCAATTATGACGATTAAAATTTCATAACAAATACGCTTTTATAATGCAAAAATACGTGTAGGTAGGCTAGGCCGAGGTATCTCAAACACTGAGTCACAATTGAAATTGATTAGATGCGGTTAGCTGGCCTGCATCTGGTTGTGGGAGAGAAGGAGGGAGGTAGTGCTTGGAAACGCTTGGTTGTCAAATGCGTGCTATTGCCACATTGACCGGCTCACATTCCATGCTTTCAATCATTCAATTTCAAATTTATGTGTAAAGACAGATGTTACAGTGGTTTGTTTTAATTTTCTGAACATCACGCTTAATTTAGACTTTTTGAAAGACTACTTAAATTTAATTTAATTTTCGACTTTCCTCGCGCTCCTCCAGACGTGACCTCACGCCCCCAGGGGGGCCTCGCCCCCTGTTTGGGAACCCCTGTCCGACAGGGTCAGCGAGGCATGGAGTGATCGATATTGGGATTAACTCCAAGATATATAATTCCAAATGTTGTAAGAGCAAAAACAGGAATTATGGTTGCAGTGAAAAGCCTAGCACTTATAAAGTGGAATTGCGCCAGACACATAGTGAGAATAACCATATTATAGAGATTTCAAGAAAGATCACACTCCATACTGCAAGTACATCGAGTTAAGCGTATATCTTTGACACGTTGGATGGATGACATAAAGAAGGTTACGAAAAACTGAATTTATTCGACACAGGATTGGGAGCACTGGACAAATGGGAGGGACCTAAGTTTTAGCACCAAAATGGATACTAAAAGAGGAGAAAGACAAGACCACCCTGTAGGTGCACACAAGCAAGGAACGTAAACCCGGTTGCTCAGTTTGAAAGAGATATGGAGGATTGTTTAGGAAAGATATTGATCAGAAAATAATAAGAGATAAGTCTTGGAACCCACTTAAATTTTTAGAGGATCTATTGGGAAATTAATAATACAAAATATATATATATATATATATATATATATATATATATATATATATATATATATATATATATATATATACTACCCCACAGAGAAGGAAATTTATTATATTCTTTAGGTAACAACAAAATCAACAAATTAGTATATCTGATTTAAAAAACATTCTGGAGCATTTCTCCAGGTAATAATAAATTACTACAAAAGTATTTGAAAGAGACGATACTTATAATAAAAAAAACGAGCTTATTTCTTTAGTTTCTTAGTTAATAGATATAATACTTAATATTCACCCTTAATTAAAATATACTTTTTAAATCTAAATTAGCTAGAAATAGAGTAAAATGAGCTCATCTTATTTCTTATTACATATAAGGACCTTAGAGGACAAGGAGTCTAAGTAACATTTTTGAAAAAAATGAGTTAGGTGCATGAATGAGTTGTGAAAATACTAATCTATTTGGTGGTGAATAGATCCAAGTGATTGTTTTGATAGGTGCTGACATCTAGCGTGGTACTCCTTAACCACTGAGTATTGATAAGTTCAAACTTGGAACGCTAGGAGCCCAAAAGCACTTAGATCCCTTTACCACGAATCCACAAACCATCACAGTTTAGTTGTAGTTGACATAAGTGTTATTAAGAACAATTTTGATCATATTTTTTTTGTAAATGGTTACAATATAAATTATTTTACAAGGATAACAAAAAAAAAAGGCTAAGACACGGGTCAAAAAAGTTACGTGAATATAATCAACGGTGTAGGTTTCATTGGAACGAAAAGATTCCTTACGAACAGAGGGAATCAATATTTTATAAATAGTGGCAGCTAGGTAAGTAGGAGCTTTAGACATCGTTTTTAAATGGTGCCTTAAAATTGCAGCCTGTCATGAGGAAGAAAGATCATGTAACTATAACTTGGTTGGTCATAGAGTGAGTAACTCAAAGATAACTAAACCCAGGCTTGAATGTGTCAATTATGTGAAAACAGTACGAAAAATTTTATTAGAGAAGAAAAAAATGTGGAACTTGAAAAAAAAGCCTTTACAGATTTATATTCAAAAAAAAATTCAATCTAAGATTCCACATACTTCACACCGACACCTGTGTCACTGGTGACAAATTAAAAATGAAAATTAGCCACTGCACGCCTGGTGAGAAGCAAACAGCTGAAGTTGAAAAAGAACTTCATTTAAGGAAGGCAGAGGTAGCTAAAGAAGCTAAAAAGCAAAAGAAAGTGCAAATTATTAAAGAATGACAGTCAAGTTGCGATATGCTTTGATTTGCAAAAGATGATGCCGACAACTTATTTGACAAATTCAAAGGCCTATTATTTGCGCCAACCTTGGACGTACAATTTGAATATTCACAACCTAACAAGTGAAACCGCCCACATATACATATGTCACGAAGGACAGGCAGGTAGGGCCTGCCAGGAGATAGACCGACTATGTAACACATGTCTGCGTTCAGTGACAACTGTGGAGGGCAAAACAAAAGTCATCTAATTGTCAAATTTTTGGCTTTATATTGTTAAGAATACTCAAATTGAAACTGTTAATCACCACGTTTTAGTCGCTGGACATTCTTACAATCAATGTGATCAAGATTTTGGAATCATAGAAATTAAAAAGAAGAAGAACCAATGTCATATCTGTGTACCAGAAGACTGGATAAATCGGGCTGCCTCAGCAAGTACATGGATGCAGACTTTATTGATCTTCAATTACTAAATCAGTACTTCCAGAAAAATGTGCCAGGGATACGAGGAATGCAGATACTGCATTATGAAAAGGCAAACCCAGACACTCTTTTTTATAAGACAACATTAGAAGAGGGTATTATGCCTTACGAAAAATTGTCAATGAAGAAACAACGGGCAGGTATAATTCCCTATCAGCTTCTCATGTTTCAACCGGTAATTAAGAAGCCTAAGCTTAAATACAGAAAGTATTTTCTTTGAAACTATCTCATGAAACTCTTGCAATTCTTTTCACCGATATACCAAGTTTTATCCAATCCTACCTCATGAAACAACGACTGGAAAGCCTTTAGCTACAGGTACTTTTGTAGGCAATGAAAATGATGATAATCACTTTGGTAACAACGTTTATGCCACAAATGACAGCAATTAAATAGTTTTCAAGTGCCAACATCTAATATTTTCTGATTTAATACTATCATGTAAAAATAACATACAAAATAGTTTTTTAAATAATAATAAAACCACATGTATTTTGTGCACATTGAGCATTTTCATTCTCTCAAAATTAATGAGAGGTAAAGGGATCCATGTGCGCACCTTCAATTTTTTTTATACATAAAACAATAACCGAATATTGTAATACTTTCTGCTATTGGCAATAACAACCCAAAGACCTTATTATCCTTCTTACATGGTCAAAATAATGCAATTTTAAATTTCCCTCTTACAATAATCTTCCGACTTTGACTTGAGTTTTCTCAAAATGTTGATTTTGTTACTTAGACCCCTTGACTTCTAGGGGCCTCATATATATGATATTTACAAATAAAAATGTATATGGCAATACATTTATTACCTTTTACGTAGTCAAATTAAAATGCACTTTTGTAAATCATATAAGATAAAAAATTTAAACAAGCATTAGTCTATATTAATCAATGTCTAAATAAAAAAGGCACACTTCGCTGCTTTAGAACAGCAAGACATTTTAGGACTAACCAAAAAATCAAAGTGTAGGCCTCTGGAGAAGTCCACTCAACGGGAAACACTTGGGGCCACACCCAAAAACGAAAGCGTAGTCCGCTGGAGAAATCCATACAGCAAGAAAACTTATTAATGGACATGTTTACTTCAACCTCCAACAAGGAAGCATAAAAATGGTCAAACTACTTGTTGATACAGCTTATGTCTTTTCAGAGACTAAAAAAACTTTATATTACCCATTTTATGCCCTTATCCAGTAACTGTGGGGCTCGTAATTTGAATTCGTGCGAATTATTTTCGCAATGCACGATAAAACGACTTATTGATTTTATCTCTACAAAAACGAGTGAAAGGAATTTTGGAAAGTAACCGAATGGGCTTGATGGCTCGTCGTCTTTCGGGGGTTGAGGGAGTTGCTTTACAAATCATAATAATCCAAACCGTGGCAATTGACAAAAATTTCCCACGAAAATGTGTTCTACCAATAGCGTGCTTGATTTTGGGAAGGGAGCAAATGAATTTGGGAGGGAATTTGTTGGCAAATAAATCATGTTTCAGTTTAAACTTTACAATATTTGCAATGGACGGTACAGATTGCCTGATGATGATAATGGTGACCGGAATTATATTTTTTATGTCTATCTATATAATAATCTTAAATTCTTAACATATCATAAATATTTACGTACACATGATCAATCATAGTTAACAAGGTTATGCAGCTGTGTATAATGTTCTTAAAATTATTTCGAGTAGGTACTTAGACACTAGTATATTAATTCTGATTTTATCAATATTCAAAATAACTTTAGATGTAATAAGCTATTAAAAAATTATAATATTGAAGATCCAATAGATAATATTGAACGATCTTAAATGTAGGTTAATCAAATAATCCTTTTTTGTTCCATTTATCAGCTGTAATAAGATTATCACTGGTGTACATGGTTAGTAAAATTATCTAAATATTAATGATTTTTACGGAAAAAATGAGAAAAGGCAGCAAATATTTGATTTCACGCAAACAAATCCTATGTATCTCTTGATACGTATTTCGACCTAATAGGTCTCATCAGAAGAGCTATTCATAGGGGTTCTCAACGTGAAAAATCAATATTTTCTGCCTTTTAAGAAGCAACAATAACATGGCTTCAATACGGACGCAATAGCGACATCTAATTACAACAATCGTAAAAATAGTTTCGAAACACAATTCAGATTTCTGCTTTATAATCTGAGCCTACTAAAAATTGCAAGGCAAACAGACGTTGATAAAAGATGTTTATCTGTAAAAGAACCCCTATGAATAGATCTTCTGACGAGACCTATTAG